CCCCAAAACCCCAAAACCCCAAAACCCCAAAACCCCTTGATCAAAAATTCATGTTGAACCAATAGCATTATTTTTATATCTTATTTTGCCATAGAAGATCTAGCTATACTTCTCTTAACATGGGCTTTATAGGCTGCACTGTGGTGATGCTCATGATTGTGATGATCCATGTCTTCCACATGATCCTCATTTTCTTGGTTATCTCCATCTTCTTCATTCTCATCATCATTGTCCGGCTTCTGAAGTTTGCCATTGAGTTTAACTTTGTCTACTATTAACAAGGCAATAGAAGAGAAAACTCCTAGTAGAGCAAACCCGCCCAAAACAATGCTGACATAGTTAAAAGCATTGTTGTTTGCACCAGATGTATCCTCTTTTTCCGATGAGTCCTTGAAAGTGAGAGCTCCTACAATAGTAGGCCCGATCGCAAGACCAATATTTTGAAGAGCTGTGCACAGTCCGTATGCTGATCCAAGCACTCTTGCTTCGACTACCATAGGCACCATTGGCCATAATGCTGATACATAGATACTGTAGGTTACACCTAGTAAGACAACTGGAGCTATACCCCAATAACTGATATTCTGATCATTTGATGCTGGAATAAGGAAAAACAGTGCGTGACACAAGGTCAATGTGGATGTCGCGATCACTCAGAAAGTAACCTTATGTCCTATCCTATCTGTGACAATACCAAATGCAGGAGCTAAGAAAGCAGGAATAAAGAACACAATACTAGTGATCCTTGCAGCACTGTCTTGTTTGATTCCATATCTTGCTACAAAGAAATCATTTGAGATATTATTGAATCAGAAAAGACCAATATATGTGAAAACTCAATTCGCAGAAATCAACCAAAATGGTAAAGTGAATTTTTTGATATCTCTCCAGTGAAATTCTTCCTTCTCGTCTTCGTTTAGAGCCCCACTTTTCTTGTCTACCTTATTAGCGTGTCGTTCGAAGAGTGTGAGTACAATACCTCAGGCAAAGGATACAATTCACAAGATAAATCCAAAAGTTAATGCCCATCCCAGACTAGTTGCTTCTGCTAAAGGAGGCATTGTGTAATTGTTGAAGACAGATCCGAGCCTTGACACACTGATGTTGATACCAAGAGCAAGGGACAGTTCTTTTCCTTTGAACCATCTGCTGACAATTGTACTTTGGCACACATTTAGTGATTCTCCCCCAAGTCCAAACACAACACGTCCAATAATTGCGATGATGAAAGCTGTTGAGACGTGATCTTCTCCTGATTGCCCAACAAATCCTGCAATTGCGAAGACTCCTTGTCCTGCTACCAATAAAGTAGAGAAGAGTACGATGGAGAAATTGATTCCAATCTTGTCAATGAGAACTCCTCCAATCAAAGGCAAGATAATATTGGGATATGAATACACAGAGTAAAGCAAATTGTACTTCACATCTCCTCGGGCTACATAATCTTGCAACATATTACTCAATGCATTAGGATTATCATATCAAAAGTAACTCCCAAGCAAAAAGAAGCACGCAAAGAAGAGTGCGACCCACCTCCAGAAGGTATCCCTAAAACTAGTCTGCTTCTTATCCTCCCCAACTTCAGTTGTGCTTAGCTCTATAACCCAAATCAGTCTTCTCCAAGCCTAAAGCCCTAAATCTAGTCCTATTTCCTACTCTCAACCCAAAACTGAAGCTTAAAATAAGGAGGTGCGTACCTGAATAGTACTTGTTAATGCCCAGGTCAGAATCTTTAGCATTCGAGCCTATCAGTTTTTCTTTGTCACTCATTTTATATAATTAATATTATCATTAGTCCAAGCTTGGTGGCTTTTCAGGGGTTTTGGGGTTTTGGGGTTTTGGGGTTTTGGGG